AGCCACAGGGCAAGTAGGGCAATGTGAGTCCATTACTTTGAAAATATCTCAGCACTATGGGAATTATCTATATAATCAAGTTTCTGCACTTAGTCGATCTATTATCATGACATTATGCCCAGTCATTCATGGTGTATCCTGTTGATTTATGTGATGAATTTATCAGATACAACCATATGAGCGTATTTCACTGACCTGATTAGTTAAGTCATCATGTCTACATTGCTTACAGATAGTAAATGACCAAATACCAAACAGCACAGCCTCAGAATTTGATAAAGCTATATATAAATGAGCAACATCAGAGCCCACCATTTATGGTCTGATAACAAAATAGCCTCTGGGGGAAATGGCCAATATTTTGGGGCCTCTGGTGTAGACAGCAGAAATCCGGGCCAAGACTAGTCAAACTAGTTTCTTCAATCACAAGATTCCAACGTTTCTCCACACAAAACACAATTAGCAAAACTCTTTGTTGGTGCTTCAAGTCCAGATGACATTTTAGCTAATCTCTTCCACCTCTTTTGCTCTCCACATGGACTGTTTATCTGCAGGCAACCAAAGCCTCCACAGAGGTGATTGGTTAGACTAGAAACAGAATCCAGAAGGCTTCTGGCTCCAGGCTCTCTTCTCTCCTAGATTCTAAAATAATAATATGATGACTTTTTTCATTGGCTGTAGGATGGTGGATGTGGGTGGTCAGCGTTCGGAGAGAAGGAAGTGGATCCACTGTTTTGAGAAAGTCACGTCTATCATGTTCCTGGTGGCACTCAGCGAGTATGACCAGGTTCTCATTGAGTCGGCCAACGAGGTACAACGCTGCAATTACAAGGACATCTCTTACTATATATCCCCTGTTAGTGTGTACATGGAAAAGAAAGGAATAATAGATATACAAAGAGACATTGTTTCCTTTGTTTAAAGATGCAGCTGTTAGGTGGAGATGATAACCTAGATTTCCACAGAGTCCAGCACTATTCTAGTTTTCCCCTCTCCCTGTACCCATTTCTCTTCCCTTTCTATTTTTTCTCTCTCTTTTTCTGGTCACAATAACAAACCAACCCTCCTTTGTGTCAGTGCATGTGGTTCGCCTGCAGGGGGAGCTGTTTAGTTGCTCTGTTCAGCTGAGTGCAGCTCTCAGCCTGGCTTGTTCACTCGATGAGATTACAGCCAGGCTGAATTTGCTCGCACAGGCAATCACCGCTGAAGTGCTGCTCTCCAACACTGAGTCTGATTTTATATTGCCGCTCATGCTGAGATGTCTGTCTGTGTGAATTTCAAAGAACCGAATGGAGGAAAGCATGGCCTTGTTCCGGACCATCATAACCTACAAGTGGTTCAAAGACTCCTCAGTCATCTTGTTCCTCAACAAGATCGATTTACTGGAGGAGAAAATCATGTATTCACATTTGGTTGACTACTTCCCTGAATACGATGGTAAGAGGAGACTCCAATCCAATTGTCTAATTTTTAAAAGCTGCTTTCTGACATGAACACTGGAGATAAGAGCCGTTCGTCCAAACATTTACTAGAGTTTGTCTTTCACATATGAAGAACGCAGCAGGGGATTGTTAGAGTGTTAAGGTGAGGAGTGGCGTCTGGGTAGAAGATACAGCAGACAGAACATGACGTATAAATTCCTCTGCCGAACACCATCAAATCTCATTGTCATTCCAAGTCAATGCATCATCTACATGTATGACACCTCTTTTTCATCCTGAGATAGTTGTATTATTTTAGTTTTTTCCAGTTTTGTGTCCGTTATGTGTTGGCTCACAGAAACTGACTCAGATATATGTGTTCTCACGTTCAGCCTCTCCAGATGACTTCAGGACACTGTCTGGAGTTCAGTTCATGTCTGAAAGCAACAATAGTCTCATTTAAATTGTTATCTCAATGCCAATCTGAGCTTTTATCTATACATAAATAAGATTGAGTGATTATAATGGGTTTTATTTGCCCTTCGTCTCTTTCCACCAGGTCCCCAGAGGGATGTCAAAGCAGGAAAAGAGTTCATCTTAGACATGTTTGTCAGCCTCAATCCAATCGAGAAAAAAATGATCTACTCCCACTTCACTTGTGCCACAGACACAGACAACATTCGCTTTGTGTTCCGCGCAGTGAAGGACCACATCTTGCAGGAAAACCTGGAAGTCTACAACCTGGTTTGAAAAACGTCAGGGTCCAATCGGCTCCTGCAGCCGGCAGTAACGAGAGCTCTGCGGTGATTCAGTTTGCCCCACGCTGCTACTGAACACTATAATCCAATACAGGAAACCGAGAAGCTATATAGAGCTTGTCTCCAAATGACTGTACTACTGATGTATTTCAAAATTTTCCTGTGAGGCTTTTTGAGAAATGGACGTCTACAGCTATAATGAAGCGTGTCCTGACAATTAAAGGCGGGGAGTCGTATTATTGTGCGCACTCTTGAAACGTATGGAGCTCTTTGGGGACGTTGTTGAAGAACAGTAACGGTACAAATGCACATTGATGAATTGAGGGGGGGAGAGAAGTATTTCAGTGGCCTCAAAAGCCTATGAAGACCAGAAATGTACGAGGTCTGTCCTTCAGGGAATCTATGGAAGTGGATGTAGACTAACTGCAATGCAGCACCTCACATCACTAACCCAAGTTGGTCATAGTTTATTTTTTTAAGTTAAAAGTACGAAACAGTGTGAAATACTCTAAATGCTAAGTTTGTATCATGAGTTAATGAAAAAAACAAGTCAAACACTAATGACAATTATTTTATCAGAGATATTGATTTGCACACTTGCTCCTTTTGTAGCATTAGCATTGTAGCATTAGCTGATCGTCTATGTGTGTGTACCTCAATTCACTGATTATGATATTCACTCTGGCATTGTTCAGTGTTAAACCACTTTCTTTTTTGTGAGCACAGCTTTGGTATATTTTTTATAATTTAACCCTCATTTCAAAAGAGACATCCGCATTCCTTCTATAAGTCTTCTATCAAAGCTATAGAATAAAGAGATCAGGGACTATTTGTTGGATTTTAAGTAGTCATTGTTGCCTTTAAAATCATCAGCTAAAATGTCTCTCTCGCTCTATTGTTTATCTGTATGCATGGTGTAAATATTGCATGGTACAGTATTTTCATAGATAGTGTGCTTCAAAGTGTTGAAACACTCTCTGCTGAAGAGAGAAGAACTTCTGAAGTACTTTTGATATTAATTCATATACTTTTGAAGATATCAGATGCATGAATAAAAAATCTTATCAAAGCGTATCCGCAGCAGGTTTACACGACCCCCTTTTCTTCGTGTTAAAATAATTACAGTCTAATTTGCACGGTTTCTTTGTCGCTGAGATGTTTTAACAAACAAGTCTTGGTGTTTTTTTTGTAATCTGGATAAATAAACAGACATTTTTTCTGTTCATTTGCTGCTCAGATTGTTTGTTTGCTCATCAGCTCCAGCACACCTTTTGTTTGCCCATTGAAGTGTTTATCTCCCTGGCCGCTCGGGGTCTGGCTCCAGATGTCAGTCGGAAAATCCTCCTCTGTGATTCATCCATCTGGCCGGAGCTTGCAGCAGCACTTATGTTAGAGGTCCATATTTTTGTACTGTTGTGCACAGTGGTTTATATGGTGTGGCAAAGCCCATTTATTTCTGGAGGACGGGCGCTAAATGCAACATGGCAGCAGTACATGGCACTAGTGATGTGCAGCGATGGTTGAAGGGGTGAGGAGGCTGCTGGGCACATGGTCCATTGTTTTCCTGTTCCCATTTTTATCAATGTAGACTCAAACCAGCCCAGAATCAATCTACCATTCAACATTCCAGCCACATTACCCAATATACCGTAATAATTAAGGCTGTAACATTGTTTTGTCTGTAAAATGTCACAAAATAAGAATTTCCAGGGAGAAGAAGCTTTTGAAATGCTTGCTTAATAATGACTCAAAAGATTAGATGACTATCAAGATGCAGAAGTTACCCATTATGTTTATGTAGCATTTGAATCTCTAATAGCTGTGGCTAACGAGGCCTGGGAGAACCAACAATAGTATTAGTATCAGTAATACAATCAACATGTTAAAACACTAGTTCGGTCATGGTTGCATGTTTGTGGTCTGCATACCACTGCAACCCAAACTTTTGAGTGTACACTGAACATTGTCCTGATTATTTATTATTGATATATTCTATAACCCGCCAAAATGTTCACTTAGCTTATGTATACAAAGAGTAAAGCCAACGTTTTTCTCATTTGAAAATCCTGTTGTAATCTTTTGTCTTTGTTGCATAAGAATTGCCTTACAGAGTAATTTAACTCCGCTTGTAAATCTCTTTCTGTGGTCCCTCTAGTGGTAACACGTCACCCTGCTGCAGTGATGTACAGGTGCACTGCATAGACTGTGTAAAAGGATAAGCAATCCATCTCCACTTCCTCCTACTATCCAGAAATAAAGCCAAAACATTGCAGATACAAACGCTGCCATCCTGCAAATTTGGAGTCTGGGCAGTAGGGATCGGGGCATGGAGCCGAGGTGTGGCTTTTCCATACGATCTATGGTGCAGGGGGAAGTTAAACAACTCTGTGTTCATCCTATCTGGTTTATCTGCAGTGAAGATTTTATAGTCGATGTTTTGCACAAAAAAGAAACTGAACCCTGCCAGTTCAATATTTATTATTATTTAACACATAGCGAGTCTAAATGACTCTGCAGTTCACAAGTGTGAAGTCTAGAAGATGAAGGGTTGGTGAGACACTTAGACAGACAGAAAGACAATTGTGGAATAAATAGGTAGTTGTTAGACTATCTTGGCACCCTTAACTCTGTTTAACTTCTAGTGTTCCTGCTCCATGATGTTTCTTCCCCTACTGTGCCTCATTGTGGGGGGAAAAGTTTTAAATTCAGAGGCACATGGGAATGAATGCACCTGTAAGTGGATACACATGATCTGACCCACGTATACTTGCATTGCCTCCGAGTGAGAACCGGCCCAACCTCCCTCCTCCTCCTGTGCACAGCAGGAATGTGAAATGCACCTGAACTCGTTCCTGCAGGAGGAAGAATGAGTGCAGAATGTGGACAACCAACCAACCTACCTGTTCCCGGACATAAGTTCCCCTGGCAGGACTGAGGAAAACCATTATCCATTCATTCCTCAAACTCCCCTTCCACTGTGGCGTTGTTGGTCTTAACAATTAAAAGCTGCCAGTAGAAGTTGGACAACAATGGAGGAGTGCTGCATTTCTGCCGAGGACGCAGAGAGAGTCAGGATACACAGAGCAATAGAGCAACAGCTACGTCGTGACAAGAGAGATTCTCACCGGGAGTTTAAGCTGCTGCTGTTAGGTGAGTGTCTGTAGAGGTGAGTGGTGATACACATGTATTTCCATGTAAAATTTGCAGTATCATATTAATGTAGATTTTCTACTTTATGGTCACAGCCAGGTCAATGTAACTATTCACCATTACATTTTACTTTTAATCAGTCAATATTGTGCAGAGAAGTGAAAAAATATACTTATTTTATATCTACTCTTGCATGTATATTTTTTCCAGTGTGACATATCAGATATTATGTAACAGAAACAAACCTGTTTAAAGAGACCTTCCTGTAATGATGAGTCATCTACTTGTGACTGTGACTTGACAAGTACACATTAATCAGCCAAACTATATTTAGTTTGGTACTATGTGAAGTTTCAAGGCGTATATTTGAGTGTAACTGCTGTTGGTATTTATGAGTTAAGTAGTCAGTATTTGTATTTTTTTATAAAAATACCTTATTTATGTGAAAAAAAACACCTGTGGTCACAATATGTGTTATAGCTGCAACCTTTTTTAATAAGTCAATGACAGAAAAAGAATTGATTCTTTAAGTATTTTTTTACATATCACAAACTTACTGTTTACAAATACAAGTTATTATGTTCTGTTGCTTTTCCGCGTCATGTTTGAAGAACAAAGAGTCATTGGCTTTAGGAAACAGTGATTTCGATATTTCAAATTTCTCTAACGTGAAAATTCAGGAGATAATTTGATAATTGAAAATGTTATAAGTTATAATCCTAATGTGCACTGAGCAGGAAATGTCATAAGGATGCTTTGAGTTGACTCAATGCCAACATCGCCATGTTAATAAGCTCACAATGACTATGCTAACATGCTAATGTTAAGCAAGTATAATGTTTGCCATGTTCACTACCTTACTTAAGTATATCAGAGACTGTTTTATTAATACAAGTATAAAATGACAACTTCTGCTCATTATCTGTTGATGGCGCTATATTGTAAAAGAAACAATCATCAACACCATTGTTATGAATCCTGAAAAATTAAAAACCAAGAAAATCTGTAAGAAATTCATCAAATAATTGTTGACACATTTCACCATAACCAAAAGTGTCATCCTCTGGGGATCATGATCCACCTCAAAGTTTTGGAGATGATACAGTCTGGACAGAGGCAGTAGACCCACCTACTAATATATATTATCATGACTGGAGCCACACAAAAAAGGAACGTCTGTTCAGAGACAGACGGTGGACAATTTTTAGTAGAATCCAGTTTCAGTTATTGATTCTGAGCAAGTGAAAGATTGTGATGTGAATGTATCAATTCAACAGGGATTAAGTATTTGGATCAATAGATAGCAATGGTTTGCTTTGCTTCTTGTTTTTGTGTGCACTGTTCCTTCAAAGCAGTAGCTGGTTATCCTTTGCATTCTTCAAATACTTGGTGAAACCCTGATGAGTCAACGGTTTGATAACCTTCATAGTTTTGTCTCCCCTGATTCAAATCAAACTAGACTGCGTATGGGCTGTTTTATTCTTTTCATTTAGTTTCTTTGCTTCGTCTGAATTGTCAAGATGTGTTTGCAAAACAAAGTCAGGTATGTTAAAAGTGCAAAACATGAAAGAGAGAACAATACAGGGCTGAGCAACTTTTTGACAACCGGGAAGATGAGTAAACACATTGTGAATGTATTACCGCTCATAATAGCTTCAGTTGAGGCCTGTTTTTTTTCCAGAACTATCAAAACAGCAGCGCTAATAAAAGCCCCACTGTTAGTTGTGTTGGAAACAATACACGAGACATGAAGGACTTTGTTTAAAGGTCAGCGCTACTTTAAATTTCAACTTGAGTTAGACTGGTCAGAGAACAATATCCTCCTGTAAAGGTCAGTCTAATGGTTAACATTTTTAGGCTTTTCAGGTGGCTAGCTGACACTCTTACCGCGAGTATAATTTACAATCAGTGGGCAGGAAGCAGTTCACTGATCCAGTCAAGGACGCATGGCTGTTGATTGTCAGACTCTACAATCACTGCTCCCAGTAGCATACATCTGTATACAGTTTTTACAAAATACCCATATTTATTATTTATTTCACTAGTAAATACATTGCCACACCCTTACTTTTTGTAAATTCTTTGTTTTTTGCACACTGAATATGTCCATATGTATATAGCAGTGTATTCTATTTTTCTTACCTTTAAATTATCTTGTTTATTTTTCACTATTGTTATTGTTTTTAAGAAACTCTACTGTCCTGTTGCTGCTGTGACAAAGAAATGTCCCCGTTTGTGGGACAATAAAGGGATTCTGATTCTGATTGACGTGTTGACTTGGCCTGGATCGAATGTTCCCTTCAGACTAAAAACCTCAAATATACAAACACATGTTAAATTCATTTCCTTTATTGTTTTTCTCTTTACCTCCAACGTTGTGTTTTCAGCAACGTGCCTTTGTTTGTTGATGAAAACAATCTGGCATATAAGAGAGTTGATATCTAGTGTGTTAGAAATTTGGTGCATCTTGATTGAATTTAAAAGGACTTTAGGAATGATTGGTGGCTTGCTTTAACTTGAATCCAAGTACAGGTATATACCCACTAATCAGTGCACCCAATGATGCACACATACTCACCTCTATGCCTGAGGGGTGGGGGACTATTACAACGTGTCAAACTACAGCCTGTTCTCATTTTAAAAACTGATTTGCTGCAGCTAATTGGTGTTCAGATGGTATATTTCTCTTTACATGTCATAGTTTTGCATATTTCTGGTGTCGCTTTTGATTATTATTGTTCATCTAATCCTTCGGTCTCATCCACCTAATTTACTTAGGGACCGGTGAAAGCGGGAAGAGCACATTCATCAAACAGATGAGGATCATCCATGGCAGAGGATACAGTGAAGCCGACAGGAGGGGTTTCACTCGGCTGGTGTTTCAGAACATTGTCACAGCCATCCAGTCTCTGATTCACGCCATGAGGACATTACAGATTGACTACACTGAACACCACAACACTGTGAGAAACCTTGTTTTTAAAAAAGATAAAATAAATACAGTTATAATAATTCTTTTGTAACATTTTATGAAATGTGTGTCACTTACGCTGCACTAACACACTAACACGTTGTGTTACCACTTGTGGGCATACACGGCACAGAACAAAACAACTTTTGTGTGGATGTCTTGTGTGTCAGAGCCATGCGGACAGGCTGAGCAAAGTGGAGGCAACCCAGGTGTTCACTCTGGAGCCTTGGCAGGTGGATGCCATAAAGAAAGTGTGGAATGACCAAGGTGTTCAAAAGTGCTACGACCGCAGGAGGGAATTCCAGTTATCCGACTCTGCCAAATAGTAAGAGTTTTACATTATACAAATCAGATCATTTACATAAATCCAAGGATCTCCCAGAGAACTGAAGCAACTGTTAATTTGCATCACCTCAAATATAAGTGTGGATTCATTCAGATAAATGATAAATAAGAATGTCAAGAATGTTTTAGGATGTTAAACTTGATCCATTGTTGTTAACTTTCCAGTTACCTGAGCGACTTGGACAGAATCACAGGCCTGTTTTACATCCCTACCGTGCAGGACATCTTGAGGGTCAGGGTCCCCACCACAGGCATCATAGAGTACCCCTTTGACCTTTCCAAAGCTATCTTCAGGTAGGCTGCTGCACTTTATAACCTGCTACAGCACAAATATTAGATCAATTCAAAAAAATGATGGGTTTTCTGAACCAAGCTACACAATCTAGTGATGTAAGGAGCGATTAATTTAATAATCAAGGTGTGTTGATATTTTACAGGATGGTGGATGTGGGTGGTCAGCGTTCAGAGAGGAAGAAATGGATCCACTGTTTTGAAGATGTCACCTCCATCATTTTCCTGGCGGCCCTCAGCGAGTATGATCAAGTGCTTTATGAAAATGACAATGATGTAAGCTCAAATCAATATTTTGCTTAGCCACAGTTATTTCCTCATCTATTTCCACATTGTCCAATCAGTTGACTCTTCTTTGTTCTCTAAAGATAATTTTACCTATTTCCCTAGAATCGACTGAAAGAAAGCCTCGCCTTGTTTAAGACCATTCTTTCATACAATTGGTTTCAAGAGTCCTCCACCATCCTCTTTCTGAACAAAACAGACCTGCTTGAAGAGAAAATCTCACATTCCCATTTGGCAACTTACTTTCCAGCCTACAAAGGTAAAGCATGTTCTGTTCTGTCACTTCCTGTTTACTCTTTAGTGGACCTGTTTTTGCTCTCTGCCATTTTATCTTTTTGAGTATTCCAAACCAAAATAATCAGCAACTATTGATGATCATTTAATTGCTACTAATATTTAAATTGTTATGTTTCAAGCAAAAGGCAGAATATTGAATTGTTTTAATTCTGTTTTGCATCAATGTCAACTGAACCTTTTTGTGTTCTAGACAGTTTGTTAAATGAAACAAGAACTTTGAAGAAACCCCCGTAGGTTAAGAAAAGACATGATTGACATTTTTATTCCTCTTTCTGCGCCGTGACAGCCACTGGCCAGAGGCATTATTATTTCAAGTTGTCTGTCTGTCCCATTAACGTTCTTCAAATTTTAAAATGGTTAAGGTTGAAATCAATCACCATGTAACCTCACAAAGCACATTTTTGACTTTTCTTTCCTAATTTAAGACTGTGGTCTGTCAGTGTGGTGTGTCAGTGTGGTCTGTCAGTTTGAAAGCAGGATTTTGTAATGCTTTCACTTAAACCCTGGGCTTGCGCTCTGCCTGTGCTTAGATTTTCTCTGCTTGTGCTTAAACTGTGCTCTTGCACTCAGACATTTTGTTACTTGGACAGTTTTCCTGTTCTTCACGTTCTGATCCTTTTGTCGTGCTCACACTGCTTCTGTGCGCGTGTGAAACTTCTGCTCTGTGTTCCCTCAGGGCGTCAGAATGATGCTGAATCCGCCAAAAAGTTCATCCTGCAAATGTACATCGATAATCACAGTGGACACGAGAAACCCTTTTACACACACTACACCTGTGCCACGGACACCGAAAACATCCGCGTTGTCTTCAAAGCCGTCAAAGACACACTCTTCAGCGATAACCTTAAAAAGTTCAACCTTGAGTAAAAGAAGTCTGGGGACAAAGTGATCTCTTTCACCTTTAGGAACAAGAAAGCTCTTGGTAACAACTACATGGATATTTTCTCTGTTACGTGCTGTTGGCCCTCAGAAAGCACGGTCAGGTAACATTTTTATATCAGTACTGTCAAACACAGACAGTTTGTGTGTGTGCCCTGTTTTTCATCACTGTTCATCATGAAGTTTAATATTGGGCATTTATATTTGCTGCAGGAGGGAAATGGACTCCTGCTGCTTTGGTTCTTCTACTGAAGTGTTACAGATTATTTCCTATTCTAATGTTATGTCTGAGAATCAGCTGATGGTATCAAACTGGTTTGGCAGAGGCTGATTTAGCAAGAATTCCAGCCACCCTGCATTGCTACATTGGGAGGAGGAGGCAAAGGATCATCTACTGGAAATTCAGTGTCTTAACATTTATTTATACTAATGAGTAATGAGTGTGCAACAACCACAAGCATGAAGGCTGTGAAATGTTCCTACTTACAGTCACTTAATACATATTAAACCAACTGATGTTTTCAAACAAACCAAATTCTGTGTCGTTCCTTTGTCAATTTGCACAGATTATTATTTTGAGAATAAAAATACATAAATATAAGAAAAAAGCACCCATAGGAATGTTTTAGGCGTTGCAGCAGGCTGTTAATTTGGTAACCTGCCAGGCTCCAGGCGTGGCCAAATTGAAACTGTGCTAACAACCTTTGTACCAAACAATGGTCGACAGTGTGCAAAGGTCTGCTCTCTGCCTTCCTGTCTTTGACTGTTGGGATTGAACTGTGGTAAGTGAAAAGAGGCATTCAGCGAGGTTAGACCTGTGCAGAGAAAAGAACAATGCCTGCTTCCACATGGAAGCAGAGGCTGTCCAAGTGCTATTGATTCTATTTGCTTTGTGGCTATAGTTTGATTGTTTAAGGGTTGAAAAGTTTAGTGCTAATTTAGAATATAAAGGGGCCATTTGAAGGTGTCTCATAGATGCATAGGGCAGGCATGATTTATTTGCTTTGGATCGGTCACTGTTTTCTCACCAGCGCAATGTAAAGTGTGTGAATATTATCAGGGCATGAAATGGACAATGTTCTTATTTCTGATTGTTATTGCTCTGTCTTACGGCCTGTGTGGTAATAAAACCCTGTCGCTGCAAAATCAGTCTCACAAATCTATACTGTCAGGCTAACAGCAGCTCCACGTGGGAATTAACAACACAACAGCACCTACACATGCACACACACACAGTTTATCTCCTTTAGTCCCAGAAACATACACACATAAACCCACCCTCCTATATCCCTCCTCTGTTGCACTGCCTGAGGAAGCCACTGCACGCTGTTGTAGCAGGTGATCGCCCTTATTTGGTGATGACCCAGATCATGTGACCAGAAAATGGTGGAAGCTGTGAGGTGTTTGTAAGCTGAGCATCTCCACGAGAGGCTGGGGGAGCAGGAAATAGGCAGGGAACTTGGAGCCACATCCATGCTCTGAGACGCAGGAGGACACACGATCCTGAGCCCCGGCAGTGGTGAGTAGATGGTTTTTATTCTGTGAAGATGGAAAAAGATAGAGGGATAGGTTGTTTTTTTTCCCCTCCTCACTGCCAGCAGACAGGAAGAGAGAGCGGGAGGAAGGGAGGGGCTGCTGTCATCAGCACTGTGGTGCTGTGCTGTGGATGCGAGGCAGCAGCATCCTCCATGGAGGATGGTCAGAACAGATGATGCTGATTGTGTTATTCTGCAATGTACCAGTGTGTGCTCATTATCTCTGTGTATGTGTGAGTAGGTTTGCACATGCTGTACATGTTTCTATGAATGGTCAGCACGATAGTCAAATCCACCATACAGGGATCCACCACTCAGCATTTTTCTCTTGCATCTGCAAATGCAATCACATTTTCCTTGTTCCAGGCTGAGTGCATCGAGGAGCTTTTCCTCCTTCATGCACGTGACTCACTGACAATTTGCATTTTTGCCTAGTCTGTGCTCAGGCGTGCAGTCATTCGATTTGAATCAGCACTAGAACAAAAAAAAGCAGCGAGGAGGGGGGAGTGAGCTCGTCATGATGTAACAGCAACCCCCCCACCACAGGCACACACACACACACACACACACACTTCGCACCACTTCCAGCATCCTCCCCCCTCCTACAGTTTGAATGGGAGGATTATTCACAGAGGAAGGAAGATCTTTCTCATTTCTCTCCCCCCTCCCCCCATCCCCTTTCTCCCCCATCCAGTTCACCACTCTTGTCTCCAAATGTTCTTTGATAATTTCAGAAATCTATCTGTAGTATAGTTTGACCAGTACAGGAGATTTTGGGCTGATATTGATGTTTGCAAGTGAAAAATAGGATACAGGTATATTGACAGATAGTTTTACATAATACAAATAAACAATCTAGATATAGCTACGGTATATCTAGATATATCTGCCGTGGCCTATTTTTGGGCATCACTGACAAAATGTATGTTTTCTGATTTGCAGTATTATATTAATGTGTCTGAGTGTATCTACATCATCATACCAGGATATTTACTTTATAATAAATACACTGCACAGTTCTGATCGCTGGCTGTGGCTCAGCAGGTTGAGATAACATGGTTGGTGGTTCGATTCCTGGGTCCTCCAGTCCACAATGTGTGAATGGGAAGTCTGAGTGATAGACGAATGCTTTATGATTGCACTCTGTGTGTGTGTGTGTCTAAGGGTTTGTGTGAATCACCATACATTTCTTAAGTACAACAGCATTTACACTTTTTTATGGAAATGAACTATATATAATAAATTATTCTCCTGTAGTTTAGGAAGTATGTGTGGTTGTTGCCTTCCATTTAATAACTGTCATTATGTCCTCGTAGGTCCTCTGGGGATGGACCTGGCATCAGAGAGTAAAATGAACTCTGAAGGGGGCGAAGGCCGACCAGGTGAGTGTGACTCCACCAGCACATCAACAGTTACTCAAATAATAACCTGTGATATGTTAAAGTAAAAAACTGCTTTTATGTGCTGTTTTTTTCCCATAGTCCCTCCTACCTCTCTGCCCCTACAAGGAGGCCCAACCCAGAGAAAAAAGCTCTCCGCCCCTCGCATCAGCCTTTCATTGGACCAGAGCGAGGACGACTTGGGGGAAACGCCAGACGATCTCGACATCAACGTCGATGATCTCGACACTCCGGATGATGGGGACTACCTCGACTACACGGACCATGAAATGGACTGGGAAGGTGGGTTATTAAGAATACATACAATATCAGACTGACCCCAATATAGTCCTTAATCATCATGATCCTGAAGGAGACAAGATGTTCCAAAATATTCACAATTTGGTTGGTTTGTTTGTGAGCAAGATTACATAAAAGCAACTGAAGGGATTTCAACGAAACTTAGCACAAGGATGTGTTATGGGTCAGGAAAGAACCCATTCAATTCTAGTCTCCGCATCTGGATCAGGGGGCGAATACAGAATAATAATTTTTTTCACTTTGCAAGATACGTTTAATATGGTTTAATTAGGGGATTGTTGAGCCTTGGCAGAGGTCTATGCTCTCCTGAGTGCCATTTTGATTTTTAATAGTCCATAATATGTCAAAAAATGTCCATCGCATCTTCCCAATTCCATAGTGGCATTGTCAAATGTCATGTTCCCAAAAATGTCCGTATTTTCATTCAAAAAGATTAGATCAGAAAATGTTTCCCATTCATTCCTGTATTTTTGATGGAAAGATTCTTTTAGTGCTTGTTTGAACCTCTGGGACTGTTGGGCTCCCCTCAATACCATTATTATTTAGTTTTATATTATTTGAATTCATCATCATGGAATCTATAATTTGAGCTGTCGAGATTTTTGAAAACGTATTTGAATAATAAAGTGAATGATAGCTGGGTTGCATTTTTGCTGCTTCAGTTTCAGGGTCCTGGTGTTGTTCATGCTGCTCATGGTCACGCTGCTGTGGTTTACTGGGGCACTTGAATAGAACAGAGCCATCTCTAATAATACAAGGAACAACTGTGCTTATGTTCAGAAAATGTCTGCTGCTGAAAAGGCCTCCAACACACAACATATTCTCTTTTGTTCCTTTCCATATCAGACCCAAATGCTGCCAGCAGGACTGGGACAAGTGAGCCTTATGAATCAATCCCGACGTACAGCGCAGAAGAGGAGCGCCAGGATGGGAAGCTGTGGAGGACGGTCATCATTGGGGAGCAAGAGCACCGCATCAACATGAAGATCATTGAGCCCTACATGAGAGTCATCTCTCACGGAGGTGAATATCAAAGAGCTGATTCAGCCTCATGACTATGGGCAAAAGAAATGATCCTCACTGGTTGACCTTTCACAGACTAACTGACTTGTTAACTACCAAACCCACAAGTCAGCACTGTGCGTTGCTGTGGACGGGTCTTTCTATATGAATAGTGCAATAATAAAGCAGAGGGAGTGACGGCTATTGCAGATATCCTGCAGGGGGCGCTATTGTTATTGACAAGCAGTTGATGCTAATGTAATAACCAACAACATGCAGCAAGAAAAAAAACCTGATTCAGAGGCTCGAAACAGTGAGGAAATATTTTACTGCATCAGATCAGCTGCAACAAATGTGAGGCTGCCCTAAAGTACAACTATACCAACGCTATGCATAACTATCTAAAGCTTCATCTGCGTACTGCTAACGCTAGCAGCAGCAAAGATAGTGAGGAGAAGCTCCAATAGAGTGGACAAGGAAGGCAGACGACTGAGAAGACGACTGAAATAGGACGTTCTAAGAAGTCTCAGAACGTCCTATCACCAACCAAAATACTGAAAACTTTTTATTGATACAAAATACTAAAATGCTGTAGTCGTGAATGCCCTAGTTAAAGATGTTTCCATTTAAAGTTTGCATTTAAACAACTAAATTCCAATTGGAAAATGTGTGAGTTGATTGAACTGGTGTTTGATTTGTCTTCAGGCTTCATAGCAGTCCCAAGTAATCATCAGTTTAGATACTCAGGATTTTGCCTCTCAGGCAACGTGCTGACTGGGACTGCATGTAGCTCATTTGCATTTTTGATGAATCATTTTTAATTACCTAAAAAGAACTAATTACCAGTCCATAATGTAGTAAAAGAAATTACTCTTAAGATTATAACTGAAAATTCACAATACATACATTATGCATCTATAATACACAATATGTAATCATTGAGTTTTGTTTCATTGTGAATTCATTCTGAATTTTTTTGCAAGGCATTTTTAGTATAACATAAAAAAGCATTAAGTTAGGCGACAGTGTATTAATAGTGTATGATTATTAGTGTGTTCAACTGTAATGGTTGAGTGGCCCTGTAGGTTACCTGATCGAGCTCGTCACCACAGGAAGTGAAACACATGCTTGTTTATTTCAATTGTATTATTATTAACAGTATCAGATCACACCAAATTTGACACTGTACTCCCATGATCCTAAAAAAACAAAATCCAACACCAGGGTGAACGGTTCTCGAGATATGTGAGCCACAGACAGATAGACAGACACACAGACATATCCACATTGTTATTAAGTGCAAGTTAACCAACCTTTGACTTCATTGCCAAACAACTAAACTGAAAACTGTTTAAAACTGACGGCATCTATTTAAAGATTTCCCCAGTTCTCAGTTTTAGTTTTCAGTCGGCCTCAATGTCTGAGTCAGGGTAACAGAATATTATAGAAGTCATATCTCTGCTGCACTGACTGTATCACGGCCATCTACTGTGCCAGAGCTGGAGAACAAGTTGGCAGAATGATCTTGATCAGTTTTGAGATCTCAACCTTGAACTGGAGCCAAGTGAAAATTAACTAATACAGGCTGCAGTGGAGGCAAGCCGCTGAGTTTTACATCACACGATGGTCACCAGAGAGCGAGCTCTGCACAGAGAAAACAATTTTCAATTTTGCCTTCTGTTTTTTTCACATGTCAACTGAACATTAGAACAACAGGACTCAGGTTGAAACCGGGAAAGTGGCCACTTGACAATAACATACCCTGTGTGTTTAATGAAGGGTGGAGGTTGCTGACCGAAACCACTCACTACTCACTGAATGAAAATCCATTCTCCCATAGAGGGTGTGAGGGGTCACTTAATGGTGTGTGTGCAAAAATGACCTGATCTCAACCCAGCATGTTAAACAGTGTTCTTCACCACCACCACCCCCACCATCATCATCATCATCATTAAAACACCAGGGCTGCAATTAACGTTCTTTTTTCTTATCGATTTTTCTGCCAATAGCTTTCTTGATTAATCAATTATGTCAGAATTTCCTACCGCCCAAGGTGACGTCTTCAAATACCTTTTTTGCCAATTGACAGTCGAACACTAAGATATTCAGTCTTATCACATAATCATTATTTAATATCCTTTAATTTATCACCTCATCTGCATTAACACTGAGGGACCTTGGTCTTAAATTGAGTCTGTAACATATGAACGCTGCCATCTGCACATTTGGAGCTAAACTTTGTACTGTAGCTATCGGGGTAGGGAGCTGTACTATGGAGGTCCTGCTGATACATACACTCGACTAATTTGGAGTCACTTTCAGGTGTTAATCATGACGTTTCACCCCGTTCAAATATCCAATTAAATTTAAACGTACATGAAAATTAATACTTGAAAGAACATAAGTGTGATAAGAACTATCTTAAATGGAAGTGTAATTTCCATCATATTTGACTCTTTTGTTCAGCTCATGTCCCATCTGATTACATGGAGGAGGCAGGGTTAATGAACTATACTGCAACCAGCCACAAGAGGCAATCAAGATGCTTTGGCTTCTCTTTTAGGAAGCTATTATCTCGTCCAACTTTATAAATGGGGCCCACTACACGCCAAGGTCCAATGGCCTATGACCCAGTAAGCCTGGGCCTCAAGGAAATCCTGACCACGTTATCATCACTGATGGAAATCAGACCCCATAATCATTGTATGTAGTGCATTGTCCTCCCACTGTGCTCTGTGCTGTGGGCTTAAGTGTAACAGGAGACGTCTGTTACTGTACAGTCAACATCAGCAGCTCTGTCTCTCAGATAAAAGACCCTCTGTTTGAGTGACACCAAACCTGCCGATGTTGACCTGGTGACAGAGAGACAGTCAGACAAAAGAGACGCAAATAAACAGAAATAAATAAAACTAGGGGACAATCAAATTAGGAAGCTGTGCTAATTAAGGCTAAGCTTTCACCAAGAATTGTTAGACCAACTTGACTCTCATTTATTTTATGTTTTGTTTTTTTTGTTATCAAGGCTACTATGCCAATGGAGTGAATGCCATCATCGTGTTTGCTGCCTGTTTCCTGCCAGACAGCGACAGAGAGGACTACCATGAAATAATGGAGAACCTCTTTCTGTGAGTATTAACTTACAATCACCAGCCTTTACTCTTACATGAAACATCATGTCACCAAAGCTACTGTGGTTCATCCTGTAGGGAACAGGAATGCACCAATCAATGTCACATTGGTGAAGATATTTGATTAAAAGTCACTAGTGTCAACATCAGGGTGGCGCAACAGAAACGTCAGGGGACACATCAGATGGATTCCTTCTCTGGGGACCATGAATGTCTGTTTGAGTTCACCTAGAAGGTGTTGAAATATTTCTGTGTAAACTGACAAATTAAATATTGATCCCTAGAGCCTTCCTGCTTGTGTGGCTTAACGCCACTGAAAGCATTTGCACGATAGTCAGTCATGGTCCTCATGGGATGTGAGTCGTGACCCGCTGACATTGAATGTGTTTTTATGCCCACTTCGCAAAAGAAACTATGTTTGTATTAGTGTTAATGTGTTAGTTTGTTAGTAAGCAGGATTACATGAAAACACATTTCTACAAAACCTGGTGAAAGGATGCAGAAAGGAGCAGGGAAGCACACTTAAAATGTTGGTGTGGATTCGGATCGGGGTCTTTTTTTTCTTTCTTTAACATTGTGAGACAGGGCATTTTAGAAAATGTTTGTTGTCCTTATCATCTTTGTGTAGGGAACGGATGTGTGCAATTCAGAGCAGATCCAAATACAAATCTGGATCTAGGTGAATTTAATATGGTTTCATAAGAGGTCTGTTTGGCCTTGGTGGAGGTATACATGCTACTGAGTGCCCTTCTAGTATTGGTTATCCCTGTTTTTGAAACAAGAATAAGACAATTTCCCATGTCTCTGGAATCCTGGATATACTACCAGGAGTCCTCTGATAGAAACCAAGATTCTGTGGTGAGTGAAAACCTTATTCAGGTTTCTGAACTGTCTCATAGTGGCTGAGATGATGAGAAGTCAGGACTAAACTGCAGGCACACAGTCAAAAACAGATACAAAGAACCAGATTACTCATGTTCCATTTAAACACTACATCCTGGATATAATCCAAATCAGGACAAGAGTCCAAACTGGGAAACTAAGAAATGTCTGCACTCAGATTTAGTTTGATAGTTTCCATGGCACAGAGATCCAAATACCTGTAAAACAAACAGCATTCAACCTGACCTCAAGCTGATTTAGTTATGATTAGCAAATATTTTTGAGATGGTGATCATGGTATGTCAACAATTTACTTTCATAAACCTTTTATAATTGACACTATACATATGTAAGCATGCATTACATTAAACTCAAAGAAATCTAAATTCACCCTTGTTGAATTTATACAAAGTCACTATGAGGAACCATTCAAAGTTACGTTTTATTCTTGACATTATTTCGTGATTCAGGAATGCCGCCAGATTTTCCTCTATCAGTCACGGCTCCTCCTTGCAAGGGAAGCTGTGTAAATAAAGCGACAGAAATAAAGTGATAATCGAGCTTGTTTGCTGAGACCTCCCATGCTGATGTCTTCACTGTTGTGCTGGCACAGATGCATTGCATGCTTGGACAGTGTGGTTGGGATCCCACGGGCTGTTCTGTGAAAGATATCGAGTAAGCTGGCATATCCAAGAGTTTTTGGATAGGAATGAAAGGAGGTAAACCGTAGTGTCTGCAGTTTCTCCTGCCAGATGGCTTGAGGTGTGAATACGTGCGAGGAGGAGTAACTATTCGAGGTGGTGAACAGTGTGCGGCTCCTGTCAGTGGGAGATAATCACAATAGTCACGAAACAGAGTGGATGTTGGTTTGTAAGCTGCAGAATGACATTAGATCAGGAAGAGAGGAGAGTCAGACTGAGCCTATAAACTCAGGGGTTATTTAGAAAATCAGAAGGACTGTGGTAGCTGAGGATATTGTCAGAATTGACAAAGTTCCCTGCTGATTGAGAAGAATGAGAAAAAGGTGGAAGGGGGTGAGGAGAGAAATGAGAAAGAGATAATGGTTTCTCTTGGCCTGAATCAGAGAATTGGATTTTAAAAAGGTAGAAGTCTGATTGAGCTGCAGAAATTGATGCAGGGAAGGAAAAAAAGAAGATGGAATTCAAACCAAAAGAGCTCATCCATGAAGCCTCATCTGTACCCATTTCTCGTAGCTGATATCAGAGGGACTTTTTAAAAAAATCTCTTATGTCCTCATATTGTTGGCTTTACATTCAAATTTCCTGCACAATATTGTAACATACATAATGTTAAAGACATATAGTGACTTTGCTTCTTCTTGTTTTGTGCAGATGATGAACCCTAGGAAATGCTTTTCTCTAGTGCCACCATGAGGCTGACATGATTTGAATTGCCTGGACGACATGATGAATTTTAGCTTTTGAACATGCAAATAATTAGTAATTATATATCAATAAAATAGTTGTAAAAGGTGGAAGTCATTTGGGTCAAATGTCTGTAAATGAAAAATAATTTGCTAGTTTGTAGTCAGGAACACAGTCAT